ATAATCAATCACTTTTTCGGATTTTAACCTGTTCAAATAAATTCTAACATTTAAACCGCTATCTTCCTTCCTGATCCATAAAAACTCCTCCTTAACGTTACCCTCTAAATTGGTGTGCAATTTTGAATTTTTTTTACAGGGCATTAATTGTTCTAAACATTTCATCGTAAATCTTTCTGATGTGGATCTTCTGCGTATTGAATAAAAATCTAGATGATCTTAACCGAAATGTCAGGGTATATCTTTCAGTAAATCAATATCTAAAATGCTTCATTAGTTTGCTGAAAGAAACGGTGAGGTAAACGTTCGCTAGCAGACAGTAAAATGTCTATTAACAAACCTTATCTCAATCTGATCGTTTGTGTATTGGAGACTTACTTTCTAGTTTAACCAATATCCTATCTCAAATTATTAAATAGTTTGGAAAGAGATATATAATTATTCTAAAAATCAAAGCGTATCATTTACCATATATACAGGGTGCGATGCATAAATTGTCGTCTAAATTACGCAAAAATAAAAATAACACTTGACATTTCATTTTAACAGATTATATTTAACGAAATTACGCAAAAAATATCTTGAAATACTAATGAGTAAATGTAATCAATAAAAATATATAATTTTTTCAAATCCGCCTCCAGATGACATTGGAATCTCCTGCAACTCTTCTGGAAATTATATATAAACACAACGTGGATTTACATAATATATAGATATTGCATAAAAATGTGTGCGATGGATGAGGATGGGAATTGTCGTCTGAATGACGCAAAAATGAAAATATACTGACATTTCATTTTAATAGATATATTTACCAAAATTACAGAAAAATATCTTCAAATACTGATGAGCAAATTTAGTCAATAAAATCGCCATTGGCTTCAGATCAATTACGACTGAATAGTGAGTTCGATCTTCGTTGGGCGCGCTATACTTTTGGCCTTAAATAACATCTAACCTATATAATTTAGAAAATCATATTTAATATAAAACGAAACAAATTTACACTAAATGTCAACCCTACTATTTATCAAATCCTTTTTTTCAAAAAGTTTTATAATATATCATATCATATTATATTATAATATATTATATTATATAATAATAATACTATATTACTATATTATATTAAATAATACTAATACTATATTACTATATTATATTATATAATACTAATACTATATTAATATATTATATTATATTATATAATACTAATATTGTTATATTATATTATATTATACTAATACTATATTGCTATAAATTTGTATAATACTAATACTATATTAATATATTATAAAACCTACTAATAAAATATTACTACAATTATATTATATTAATACTATATTACTATATTAAATTAACATGTAATACTAATACTATATTAATATATTATTTTATATTATATATATTATATAATAAAGTACTATATTTATATATTATATTATACTAATACTATATTAATATATTATATTATATAATACTGTATTAAGTATAATATATTATATTATACTAAAACTATATAATAGATTATATTATATAATACTAATACTATATTACTATATTATATTGTATAATACTAATATATATTAATATATTATATTATACTAATACAATATTACTATAATATATTATATTAATACTATATTACTATATTAAATTATGTAATACTAATACTATATTAATATATTATATTATATAATACTAATACTATATTAATATATTATATTATAATATATTATATATATTATATAATAGTAATAATATATTACTATATTATATTATATAATACTATATACTATATTGAATAGCAAACGACATAGTCATGTCTTTAAAGTCAATCCGTTTTAATTATCAAATCTTTATCGAAGCCAGGTCGTCGGCATATTGAATATGCATCCAGATAATTTTATCATTAAAATCAATCGATATCTGTCAATCATTCTTTACGCAAATCAGTTCTTTTGGCATAATGAATGGAAAAAAACTATATGTCTGCCTGCCATCAGAAAGGTTGATGCTGAACTCCAGAAGAGCAACAATCTACGTCTTCTTCGCCTCATGTTTTCCATTGGCATGAAATGAGAGCGACTATTTCAAGTCAAATGCTACGTCTGCTGTAAGAAAGACTGATTCACTGTGTCGTGGCAAAAAACTTTCCTCGTGTAAATCCATCTTAGACATTTATAAATCTACCATTCGTCCACGTATTGAATACTGTTGCCATATCTGGTCTGGTATTCCTACTGTGAATCACGAGATTCTTGATAAAATCCAGTTATCTTAACTTTCTTTGCTTCTCACCAGGTTCACACTCCTCCTGTGTCTTTTGAACAGTAGTAAAAGTTTATATATTGTTCTCTGTTTAGGTTTGGGTTTCTAAATCTCTTCTCATTCTCTTTCACTCCCAGCAGACTCCTTGCGTCTTAGTGGCATTACCAGCTTGTTTGAAGTGAATAGATTTTAATTGTCTTTAGTCTGAGTTTCAATTAAATTAGATCTACGCATCAGAAAGGATTGATAGTAAAATACAATTTATTTATTTATCATTTTTAATTATTTAAGTGAACGTTTAATTTACCTTCTGGCTATAAATTGTCTATATTTTGTTATTATGCACTTTAATTACGATGACTTATCAAAAATACACTAGTCAACCATTTTGTATGGCAGAACACAATATTTCTTCCTGTTATCTCTCTCTCTCTCTCTATCTATATATATATATATATATATATATATATATATATATATATATATATATATATATGTGTGTGTGTGTGTGTGTGTTGTATGTATATATCAAATTAATAGGAAAGAAAAGTCATATTTATAATGCTAAGTTCTTTATTATTTCTGTGTTTTATTTTTAAAGACAGTACTCGATAAAAAATAAGAAATAAGAAGACAAAAGATGACGATTCACATTACATTTACATTTTTGAAGATCAAAGGCAATAAAGCCCCTAGGACGCAAGAGGTTACTGAGTGTTAGAGAATATAAGAAAAACTACTATTAAGGAGAGAGGACAATAAAAGAACAAGAATTAAGAAACAGAACGATTGATATTGTATTTACATTTTTGAAGATCAAAGGCAATAAAGCCACTAAGACGCAAGGCGTTAACTGATTCTTAGAGAATATGAGACAAACTCTTATTAAGGAGAGAGAATAGAAATTAAGAAGACAGAAGATAACGATTGATATTGCATTTAAATTTTTGAACATCAAAGGCAATAAAGCCACTTTCAAATATAAAATGAATGAAGACACCTTGTCGCCAATCTGGTCCTGCGCTTAAATTCATAAATTCTAGGTACCATATGAGACTATGTGACACCGCCAACGGAAAGAAACGTTTAAAAATAACTTGGAACAAGTCGAGAAGAGTTAAGGAATGGAACGATTGACAAACCGAGAAAACGATGTGAAATTTGTCTCTTACAAATGTCTAATTTTTTAAGACAGAAAAATAAACTCGAAGAAATGTGATTCTGTTACAAGATGTTACCACAAAAGCCATATGGCAAAATATGGCTGACAGCTGATTAATGATGCAGCTTAAAAAAGTGCCGGTTATGAAAACAAATCAAGAGATAACACTTGCTGATCTCTGTAACCAAAGCAAGGGATTAGAGATTATTTGTGTAAGGACCGACAACCAAAGTCATTTGGAGTGCTATGACCCTGTCAGGATGATAGGGAGGGAATTTGACTGACTGGAGGAAGCAGTTGGTAAATTTCTAATTTTATGATGAAGATCAGGCTGAGAAATTTTGCTGACGAGAAATTAAAATTTTAAGTTTTAATTAATGAACACAAACTAAGCCACACCATGCGATTGAGAACCAGATTGGTCGAAGGACAACCAAGGTGACGGGCGCAGGTGAAATACCAAGGAGGACGGAGGAATTGCCTATGCCCATTGAGAAGTGTTAGTGTGAGGCACAAGTAAGGGAAGGAAGGAGTTTGAGCGGACCTATATCCTGTGACCACTACCCATCGAAAAAGAGATCTCTCCAAAGTTGGAAGGATAATTAATTATCTAGAGCCAGACAACAAAGAGACCCTTGTTCTAAGATAGGAGAAACACCGAGACTCTCAACCACATCAACCTCTATGCTAGTTTTGGGTAGAAGCCAATATATGCAAAATACTGAGGCGACATAAACTACAAGACACAATGCATGGTCATCAGTAAAAGGATGAGACCAAAACGCAATGTGCAGGTCGGAGACACTAAAAGCAAACATGTGCGGAAGTTTAAATATCTGGGAAGTGTTCAGACGGAGGACGGTAGGTGTGACGCTGAGATCCGAAGACGGATTGGGATGGCCAAGAATACATTCCAGAAGCTGCTACGTGACATCTGTCCTCCTAGACGGCAGCGAATGTTGGACGGTATCCTCAAGGATGAAGAAGAGACTCAAGGCGTCGGAGATGTGGTTCTACAGAAGGATGCTGATGATATCATAGACCGAGCATGTGAGCAACGATGAAGTCTTGGACAGGATTAAAACAAGGAAGAAGCTTATGCTTAACATAAGGAAGAGGCAGATGAAATTTCTTGGACACTTGATGAGAAAGGAGGGCTTGGAGAATCTGATACTCACGGGACGAATAGAGAGGAAAAAAGAGACAAGGGAAAGCAGTCCGAATAATGTAAATAGTGTACATAATACCTCATCTCAGAAATATAGACAGATAATAAACAGAAGGTTAATAAAAAGACAATGTTAGAATCCACATTGATATCATAGTCATAACGTTGTACTAAATATGGCGATAAAGATGAGGAATGGTCCTTTTGTTTATTTTAAAATATAGCTAAAGTAGTATTACACTTGCCATTCGAACACATATTTCCCGATGTTCAGTACCTTGTCTGATTTTTTTAATGATAAAGTTACTCCGATCAAAGAACGGCTACAAAAATTGGTTCTTCTGTAGTAGTAGTTTTTGTTTCCTTCTTTTTTCGTGGTCTAAATCTTTTTATGACTTTTCTTGATTTTTATTTGCGTGGAACTGTTCTTTTTATAACTATTCGTTCTTTGAAAGAGAAAAAAATTACCTTGAATGATTGTAGAGTGCCACAAGAGGCAACAATAAGTCGATTTACTTTTGTTTCAGTCTGTGTGTGTCTGTGTATGTGTATCTGTGTGTGTGTGTTGTCGATTTACTTTTGTTTCAGTGTGTGTGTTTGTGTGTGTGTGTGTTGTCTGCTTTTCCCCTTTTTTCATCATTTTTGTTGGTTTACGTTTCTTTCTTGTACAATTACCATTAAACGAATCTGATACCAAAGTTTGATTTCGAAATAACCTTTTCTTTTGAACTGGAAAATGTCTTTCATTGCCTTCTACTTATTTTTATTTAAACATTTCACACAAAAAAAAGCTTTTGGATCAGGCGGTTTTCTCAACACCTTTGGTTATATTCTTAGCCTTCATTCTCTTTTACTAATATGTAATTCTGTAATTCAAGTTTTTACTCTAAGAGTTTGAGCCTTTTTTTTTTTTTTGTTTTTGTTTTTTTGTTTTTTTGCTTTTCCTGTCTCATTTATTTCTTTCTGTCTTTCCCCATCGTCTTCATATTTTGGGGGTTTTTTTTACCTCACATTTCTAGTTTCACTCTCTTATATATTATTATAATTATTAAAAGAAGAATTAAGAAAGCCTTTATAAATTAAACGTTTCGTATTTATTTAACTACATCAGAAATTTTAGAAGGGATTTAATGCGAAGATGTTTCGATTTTTAAATCTTTAAAATCTACATCGCCTTGTCTTCGTTTGTTCTGTAAACATTACCTAACTATCTATGCATGCATCTATATATCAAGTTTTATTATGTGATATTATATATATATATATATATATATATATATATATATATATATATATATATATATATTCATTAAATGCCTGTTTCATTAAATAATATAGACTAGTTTTGTCTATTTATTTTAAGTAAGTTCCTTTCATATTGTCTGATAAGCTTAATAATATTAACATTGAAAGACGAAAGGAAAACACCATGTTGATACATGTTTAAATCCAATCTAAGCTTTCGGCTTACATAAGCCATTATCAAAGATGACAATTTCAATAAGTCAAACAACAACGGACGAACCAAGAATGATAGTCCGCCCATGCTGCATGAAAATTTCCAAGTAACGACAAACTCGTATATACGAGACGCGAGATCGAAAATCGCGTAGCAGCTCGTGACGTCACACATGACCACGCGAGATTTAAAAAACGAGAAATATAAAGTATGGGAAGCCGTTGGTAGAAACCAATGGCTTCTGTTATAAATTATAGGCATTTAAGGATATTTGTGGAGATTTCATAGTTTATTTTGTTCAGGTTAGGTTTCAACTGTTTTATGTATAAAGCTTCAAGAACTTTTAATTTTTGTTTATTGTTTTCATGTTTAAGTATAGTTGTGTTTTCAACGATGATTCTCCGGAATTGTGTACGCGGCCGGGCATGTTGTACTAAATTCCGGAAAATTTCTGATTTGTTTTTTTGTTTTTTTCAATTTTCCCATCACTGATTCCACTTCAGATTTTAATATTTTTGATGCCTCAATATTTCTGTATTGCTCTTTCTGAACACAAATATTGCATTCATTTTTATACGGTTAATTAGGTAAACTAACAGTATGAAATCTATCTACGCTAATCAATTTGTGTTTCAGGGCTTTTCCGGTACTACACTTACTGTACATGCAGGCACTTAAACAATGGATTCGGCCTAGTGTTAAACGCAACCGAGAGTAGAAATGTTTAAAAAAATACAAAATCAAAGAAAGAAATCCAGAAAAAGTGATGCCACGATAATTTTCAATTTAATTTATCTGTGGGATAAATAAGTTCAGGAGAAAAGACACGTACAGTTCTGCCGGTCTGGGCTGTCCTTTGTAGAGATCATAAAACCTTCTAGAAGCATTCACAGAGACGCCAGCCTCATAAAAGTCACTATAACTAATTTTCATTGATCACGAAAACGAGGCTTTACGATGTTAAGAATTATCACCCATAAGCTGCCTTAAACGATTCTGATTGGTTAATAGCTGTAATCAAGTTAGAAAAATACAAAGAAGAGTCCAAACTGAACACGGCTATTCTGGAACAATTATTGATTGACTGCGATTCTGATTAAAGAGATATTGGAAAAATAGTCTACGAATTTCTTTGACGTCACTAATTTTGGGTGGAGTTCAGTAAAACTGATTTATCAGAGAAAGGCAACACCCAGGCGAGACAATCAAACGAATTAAGTGCTGGGTGTTCTACAATAACAATAATAAATCCTGGCTCACATGTCTTCGTGTTTTATTCGTAAAGATCCAGTTCGTCATTCACCATTTGTGTTTTGAATAATCCGGGACTAAACTTCAATTTAAACAGAATAGAAAAATATCCGATTTATCGTTGTTTCTTCTGTTTCGTTTTGCTATGTCAGAAACTACACGATCATAGTCAATGCCATTAGCAGGAAATTGTATCATATATCTATGATATTTAATATATATGGCTATATATCATTTACTGCCTGCTCTCCGTAGTAATACCGCATTAAGAAGGAAGTGATGGGTGGGTAGGTGCGGTTTTGACACATACGCACTCACACAATCTTGTTTATATATATATTTCCGATTTCTTTTTGAATTTGTAGGTCTGATGAACTAGATCGTAATTACGATTCCAATGTAATAAATTATAACCATGGAATATTAGTGTTTGAGCCTTTTATTTTATATTCTTACTCTGTCCTGGAAATTGAGGTCGACCTGGATTCTATCCTCTTGGAAATTTATATATATATATATATATATATATATTGTTATGGGGTCCACCCCTTTTTCATACAAGTGGACTCGACCAGAGTATACTTGGACTGCTGCCGTTAAATACCCAGAGTCAGTCAGTGTAGATAGAGCAGATATTGTGATTGAGTTGGAGGTACAGTAATAGTGTGAGGTAACCGCTTGTAGAAGTCACAGTTACAAGCACGTAGACTCTAAGGAAGTCCTACTTCCTAGACTGTATATATATATATATATATATATATATATATATATATATATATATATATATATATATTATTGCTACTAACCGCGTTCCTGGATTTACTAACAGTATTACCCATTGTATTATTGTGTAAATAGATTTATTTGCTATATTTCATTCCTGCGTTTGTCATTCATTGGAGACCGAATTTCATCTCGGAGTCCACAACATATATATATATATATATATATATATATAAATGTATATATGTATATATATCTATATTGACACAAATATTATCAATATATATATATATATATATATATATATATATATATATATATATATTGACAAAGGCAGGGGACTACTCACAGGCACGCACGCAAACCACCGAACAACTTAGGAAGTATGTGTATATGTATGTACGTATATATGTGTATATATGTGTGTGTGTGTGTATGCTGATTCCGTGTAACTTGGGAAGTATATGCATATATATGTACATATGTATGTCTGTATGTGTCTGCATGTGTTTGTGTGTGTATATGTGTGCGTGTATGTGTGTGTATGTGTACAAATGTGTTTACTAATTCCCCGTAATAATGCATGGAGAGGGAATATACATATATACACGAATGCTGAAAAAAAACAAAGAAAATAGAAATAGATCTAAGAACGAACAAGAGTCATTAAAAGATAAGAATGCCGATAACTCCTTCACCATTTCTCGGCCCAATCTTAATTGTTTTATAACCCTTCACGCAGAACTTTTCACTGACAGTTGAAGAAAGACATTTTGGCCACTAACACACTAAAAAGAGAATGTCTCATATGGAGAATATTTAACATCGAAAAACATAAGAAAAAATTAATTATTTTTAATAATATGTGAAAATCTCAACGCTTTGCCTGATGAAGGTCGCGAGACTGGAAACGTGTGTGGCAAAATTATGGAAAATAAAGCATAATATTTTTAAAAAAAATCTACATTACAACCAATATCGTTTACAGTTTCTCTCTTCTTTTTAATATACACACTTTTCTCTCGTTGGAACTACTATAACCTCTTCCTTCATACATATATATATATATATATATATATATATATATATATATATATATATAATATATATATATATATATATATATATATATATATATATATATATATATATATATATATATATATATATATATATATATATATATATATATATAACCACCAATATTTTAGCATAAATTTTCGATAACTAAAGTTTAAAATGAATTTTTGAAAATGAAAAACATTATTGAAGATTTCATTTTTGCCTTAATTGAAAGCTAAATGATTAAATTTATTATTTCCAGTAAGTGAAATATTCTGGTGCATTTCAAATAGAATGTCAAATTTTATTTCAATTTTTTCGAATTTTCTTAAAAGCGCGCATTTTCTTAATTTTAAGAAATTTGTAAACAAAAAAATATCGGTTTTAATATTCTTTCATATATACATCGTCTCTCTCTCTCTCTCTCTCTCTCTCTCTATATATATATATATATATATATATATATATACAGAGAGAGAGACGATTGCGTCTAGCATGAAACAGCCTATCACCTCTGAGTGTTGACTTCAATGTTCACTTTTATAAATATATATATATATATATATATATATATATATAGATAGATAGATAGAACGACGAGTAAGATGATAGATAGATAGATAGATAGATAGATAGATAGATAGATAGATAGATAGATAGAACGACGAGTAAGATTTCAGCGTTCAAAACATTAATTTAAAACAGAGCTTAATGCAAAAGTCGCATCGTGATTCCCCACCTGATGAAACGTTAAATTAGATTTTTTTAACGTTGAAACAAGGTGTACAGTTTTGTAGTGGGTATTTACATGTTCTAATCCAACACTGCATAATACACACACACACACACACACACACACACACACACACACACATATATATATATATATATATATATGTGTGTGTGTGTGTGGTTAGAGTATAAATGATATTTAGAAACACTTGACATTTGGAATTTTCTCCGTTCCATTCATTCACTGTCGTTTCTTTCCGTAGACTTGTTCGTCCCATAATAATAATAATGAAACCTCTAGACGAATGTCACTTTCTTCTTTACCCTATCATTTTCCAATCGATGCCAACCCATAATCCACCTAACGCTGGAATAACCTTTGTCCGTTCTTTTTGAACGGAATCTCTTACCGATTCCTTCTTAACCTCTCGGCATGTGAACCGAGGCCAACAGACCAGCAATTATTCACACATATATGTATATCCACACACGCAAGCAAAAAGCAGTAAAACCATGGCTTTTTCTTGTATTATTTAAAGGGTTTATATATCGGTAAGCTATACTGACAACACTCAAGCAATATACCTATAGCTTGTGGAATAATGGATATCGGCTTGGAATGAGAAATCGGAGACCCGTGTTCGATTCAACTTCGGATCGTTACATTCATTTGCGTGCAAACAACACTTCGAAAGGTATGAATCCATTACTGTCCCCAGCTATGGGCTGAATAACAGGACAGACGGGATCCTATAACCTTGGCTAGCAACCAGTTTACTACAGAAGGAAACGACAACCTACTGCGGGAAAATATGCTGCATAGGCAATCATGAATCGAAATGTTTCTACTGATTATTCGTTTTTACGGCGTATCAACCCTTTGCCGGTTACTTAAAGCCAGAAAATATTTTTAGATTTTTTTTTGGGGGGGTGGAATTAGTAATGTTTTAGTGATACAAATCTTACTAATTAACCCATAACTGGGGGAGAAGGGGTGGATTCTTACCTTTCGCAAGAGTATTTGCGAGCAAGTGAATTTGACGAACCCAACGAGAATTAAAACTCGGCTGTCCGGTTAACAATTCCGACTCGTTATCCACTACACAAACTGTACATCCAAGCTGGTATTTCTAAGCAGACAACCATGCAGGGACTGACCAGACTCGATGTTTCTTAACTTTGGTGATCGCACGGGATATTTCAACTTGATGTAGCCAAAAGCCTGAATCCAAAGATCGTGTATCATGTATAGTAGTTTGAATGACAAAAATAGCCATTTCCATACAGGAAACATTCGACATTCATTGACTGAACATTTAGTGTTACTGTCGATTGAAATTTGTAAAATCCTTGTCTTAAAACCGTTTTTCAGTGAAATTAGATTTCTCAAGTTCATTAAATGTTATAGGTTTTGATTAATACTAATGGGAGTTTCCTTCCAAACCTTTTGTTTTTATTACTGTGGAAATTTAACACGTTGACGATTTTTATTTTTTCGATTTATATGTGCTAGCCATTTTTTGCTGTTGTTTTTATTCCAAGTCGTCAAAATATGTTTCTTTCTGTGATCCTGTTGCGCCAAACAGTAAATAAAAATATCGACTTCTTCAATATTATATAAAATTTGCTGATTTTTTTTTTTTTTTACTTTTTCATTATATAATTAGTATAAAAGCAAAATCAACATTGATCAAAGTTGATCCATAATTGCGCGCCGTGACACGCCCTGACACGTTTAGATAGACTCTTCTCATTTATAGTTGTGATAGAGTTCTTGGGTAGAACAATATATTTTGATTCATTGGGGTTGTCAGGCAAGAGCGCTGTTCTATTGTAAAATATTTCAGAAGCTTTTTCTTTTGCGTTGAATATGAAGTAATTAAGGTATTGAATGATCTTAAAGGTATTTTCAATGTATTTCTTCTCTTCATGTAAATACTGAGGGCTATAATTTCTGACTGATTTTAAACAGAATCCGATTATTATTCCAGACTGTATTGTGTTGTTATGGTGAGAATATAAATTTATGAGATCAAATATACAGGACGTTCCGTAATGATGGGACACATTTGGAATGCAAGTATCTTGCATTATAAAAATGATACAGGGTACCAAAATATATTTATTATATAACTGATATACAAGACTTTGTCGGAGTTAACTCCTCCTTAATTGTCCAAATATTTCACTAGGGTACGTTCTCCCTACACTATAAATACAGGGCGATTTCTTTTCTCGTTCTCTTTTCTACTTTGTATTTCAGCGGACACATTTTAAAACGTGATCTCTCGCAGAAATCCGCGTTTTCATCCACTTTCACCAAAATAAAAACTCTTTAATTTCACACACAAACACAAATGTTAATGTCTATGTCCATTGTAATTTTTTTTTGTTTAATATATATATATTTGTTAACACACACACACATATATATATATATATATATCGGTCTTGTTTGTTTTCTTTACATCTTCGGTTGGACTCAACTTGAGTCCGCCATGTTCTTGTTGTTGGACCTTCTTCTAGCAGGAATAAACAGCACGTGTTTTTAATTCAACAACACGTAAAACTACACGGTGCTCCACAACTTCAACATATTATTTAAGATTTATATTTCACAATGTAACTACTGTTGTTATGTTATATATTTTATAGAAATGGATTTTGTAATTCGACATTATTTCTTATTACTATAAATCTTATTTCGTGTTTGCGGTACAATCTGTGTTCTTTTATTCATTTTTTTAAATTACCTATTATCGATTGACATTGTTTTTAAATATTTGAAGATCAATCTTGACCGGAAACAAGGAACTGGAAAAGAGTTCCAAAAAAGGAATATGCAACAAAAGAAACTGTTAGCATAGAACTTACGGTTGCCTCTGGACATTTCAGCTGTAAAATGAAGAGAATCTGACTACAATCATGTATTTTATTTACTTTTATTACTATTGTCCTCATCTTTGTCGCCATATTTATTACAACGTTTCGGCCTTTCAGTATCTGTCTATATTTCTGAGATGAGGTGTTATGTACACTCCATTATTCGGACTATTGTCCTCATCTTTGTCGCCATATTTATTACAAGGTTTCGGCCTTTCAGTATCTCTCTATATTTCTGAGATGAGGTATTATGTACATTATTTACATTATTCGGACTATTTTCCTCACCTTTGTCGCTATATTTATCACAACGTATCGACCGTTGTACGCTCCGGCCTTCTTCAGGTGGTTGGAATGTCGAACTGAACCCTTTATTTCGCTCACTGGGTTAGACTGTTCTAGTTCCACGTGCCATGTTTTAATGGATGTCAGTTATCAGTTATCTCCAGTTAATTTCCCTCTGAAAGTTTTCCACTGCCTTAACTGGGTATTGAACTCACACTCTTTTGGTCTTGTCACTGGAGCTAACTAAAGCCTTTACCCACTGTGTCATGTGTCTTGTATTGCGCTTAAATTATAGATTCCATAGTCAAAAGCTCATCTTTGCCTTGGAGATATTTATAGAAAAGGTACAGGAAATCTATTTTACGGCAGTGGGAAAGTGATTGATGCCGAGATGCCAGATCACGATCAATAACAATGCAGATTCTTCTATTGATAAAAAATACAGTGATTAGTCGAAAAGGAAAAAAAAATTGAATCGATTTAAGATTTCAAAATACTTTCACTGGATGGCCGAGAGCGGTCTTTTAGATTTCTCCGGAAAATTTGAAATGATGACTAAAGATTGGGCCAATTAGCGATGTGCCTGCATTAACGATGTTCAAACCAGAGACGCAAAGTTGGTCCAGCAGACAAAGGAACGCAGTCGGGGACGTCACACACCGAATCTTGACTCTACTTACTTTTCAGATGCCCGACTTGCGGAAACGTGTGTCGTTCCCATTCTGGTCTAATGAGTTACACGAGAAAACCCCACCCAACATGAAAGGAACAGGTCGACCTTGTCTAAAAAGACGGTCTACAAGGACGCCGACGATGACAAGTGTAATTAATTACGTTTTTCTTGTTTTAAATTATTAACTAGCTTTTCTTTCTTGAAGTACATCTTTTTATATTTATTTTTAATTAAATATTTAGGTTGAATAGCAAAATTGAAATAATATGCTGCCAAAAATAAATTATTTTTAAAATGTCTATCAAAAAGGAACAAAAGTGTTGAAAGCTCTGTTCTGGGAAGACGTTTGTCATCTTTGAATGATTATGTATGCATCTATGTGATGTGGCTAAAACGTTTGCTTCCCAGCCATGAGACAAAGCTTCGAATCTCACCATGACAGACTTCTTCATATTAACGGCCTTAGTAGACGATCACGGAGGATGGTACCATTGAAAAATGCCTGGAAACTATACCATGAACTGACTCAAACCTTTGGAGTGAAACTGAATAAAATTAGCTGTTTGGAAACCATCTGTGGTTTTGCTAGCACGAAATACCAAGACAGCGTGACCGAGCGTTTGAACATACTCGTTTTGTCCAAAATTCCGGATTGGCGAGTCGCCATAGCAGACTTGCGTACTTAGAAAACGAGTAGCCGGCCATCGTATATGTATGTAAATCGTAGACTTATTTTGGAGTATATGGCCATGTCCCCACCGCGTTCGTACTTGTGATTTTTGCATCAAGTATTTTTTTTACAGGATAGATTTACTAGTTCCACGTCTAACCAATTTAGAATTAAGATATCTTCTTCCTAGACTGATAGTCAACCAAGGCTAGAGAGGCCAGTTTCCTCTGCTATTAACCCCTACATAGAAAAAGACCTGGATTCCTCACTTTCCAAGAGTATTTGTACAAAGGCGAACGAAACGACCGGAATTTACGCTGGTCAATGTCACTTTCTATGAGGTTTTCTGATACGCTACGCTCATACCCGTCATTAAATGAATGGGGTGGCTAGAAACTTAACGTATATAGTTCACCCCACAACCATTCCAGTCGTATACTCTCCGGACTTCTGTCGATATCTGCCGCACTCAGTATCCCTAAGAAATTGTTGCAGATGCCAGCTCCGGCATATTTGCGTTTTGCAGTACTCACTATGGTTTTTACTACAAATATGTTGAGCGGACCTTACTTACAGTTTCTGGGAGATGGCGCATACTCTGGTGTGATCAGTAGCTGAACAAAGCGAGTATATTCAAACGCTCGGTCACGCTGTCTTGGTATTTCGTGCTAGCAAAACCACAGATGGTTTCCAAACATAGATAGATAGATAGATAGATAGTTAGATAGATAGATAGACAGATAGATAGATAGATGTAAAGAGACTAAGATACATCATGGGTACAGGAATCAACACTGCATGGTTACTGTCATTTTCACGATTCAATGCGATGTTAACACCTCAGATATACTAATTTAATTCCAAATACCAAAACAAAGAAACAAATGAAACATTTTTTTAAGCGTTTCACCCCAAGAAAGGCGGGAAGCCACTAGTACGCAAGGGGTTACAGAGAGTTAGAGCGAGAACAAATAGGAATGACAGAGGAAAGGATGAAGAGAAGGATAGGGGATAGATCAGGGTACCTGGAGACGTCGATTGACATTACATTTGAATAGTTGGAGATTATAGCTATCAGAGAAACAGGAAAAGGGGAGGGAGTTCCACAGGCCACAGGTGCGTACATGAATCTATTGGAGTAGAAAAGACGGCTACATTTAACAGTTTTGACAGTGAAAGGGTGTGGGCGAGATGCAAGCCTTATAGAACGCTTAAATTCATGAAGTTTGGGAACCAGCGAAAGCAGCTCATCGGAGCAGTTACCATGAAAGTATTTGTAAAAAAAGACAGAGGGAGGCGATGGCAGGTCTGTGTGAGAGCGACTGCAGACGAGATGCCAGATTAATGCCAATTAAACTGCATATCTGTCTCTGGATCTTATCAAGAACCCCGAGGCAAGCAGAAGGGGCTCCAGACCATATATGGCAGCAATACTCCATGCAAGGGCGAATGGTTGATTTGTAGATTTGAAGGATCGACTCCGGCGAGAAAATTTTCCTGGCGCGGCACAGGGAGCCAACTTTCCTTGCGGTGGACGAAGCCATTGACTCAATGTATTTTGTTCCATCTCAGGTCAGCAGTCAATGTGAGACCGAGTAGTTGCAAAGAAGAGCTCTCGAGAAGTTGAGCGTCAGACATTCTAATGGGTGGGAGCAGGGAAGGATCTTCCGTTTTTGAAGCGTTAAAGTTAACTAGCAATTTCCTGTCCCAGTCCACAACCGATTGGGGGTCCTTTTCGAGACGAACTGTCAGGTTAGTTTTGCCAGCGACACTGGATTTGTTTTTGAGGCAGGAGTAAATTGTAGTGTCGTCCGCGTAGATGCCTACTTGGAAACCTATGACATCAGGAAGATCGTTAATGAAGATAAGGAACAGAGTAGGGCCTAGGATAGAGCCTTGGGGATCACCTGCGTTCGTCGGATAGGAGCTGGAGGAGAATCCGTTGAGAACGAACTTCAATTCACGGTTTGACAGGAATGATTGTATTAAGTCAAACAATCGACCTGAAATTCCATAACCCTGAAGCTTGCGAAGAAAGCCGGCATGCCAAACCCTATCAAACGCTTTGGAGATATCTAGAGCCACGGCACGAGCTTCTCCGTTAATATGAAGGGCTTGGTAACAATTTCAGTGATGGTCTTAAGCACATCAGCTGTAGAACGGACAAAGTGGAAACCATATTGCTTGTCTGAGAGCAGACCATGGGATGTAAGGTGCTTAACCACTTCGGCTTTGATTAAAGCTTCGAAGACTTACATAAAAGCATAAAACAAATAATAAAAGAATGAGTAAAATCATGAATATTATATATAAATGAAGCAATCTTGAGGTCATGATCATAAATAACCCTAAACTATTTATATACACACTTCTTCCAATCACCCGACCAGCATAAATAAGTAATGTCGCGGTCATGAACGTAAATAAACTTCGACATTAACCATTACAAAACAAAATGTGATTTCAGGAATTTCGACTCTTCACTAATCAAGTCTAGTCTAAATTGATAAAATACTAAGCTTACATTTAACCTCAAATTTGATTTCGGCTGCATTAGTTATCTTTATTTTTTAATGTATTCATTGGTACATGAGATAGATAGATAGATAGATAGATAGATAGATAGATAGATAGATAGATAGATAGATAGATAGATACGAACAGTCTGAGATAGATAGATAGATAGATAGATAGATACGAACAGTCTGAGATAGATAGATAGATAGATAGATAGATAGATAGATAGATAGATAGATATGAAGAGTCAAAGTGTGAGATAGATATATAGATATGTAAACAGATATCATCAGTGAAAGTGCGAGACTAACCGATGGCTGACACTTTCCATTATGATGGTACCGAATTGGCAATTTGCTGGCTGCGGCTTCCGACTGGTCTTTAGGAGTCTAAACACTTTAGAAGAGAAACTGTTCCGATCAACAGTCGCATAATATCGAGGTATCTGTAGTGCCATGTCGCGCCTGAGTGAGAAGTGCTTTATATGTTGTTTTTTTTGTTGTTTTTTTTTAAAAACATTCTGCAACAAGTAGAATCTCGCTGTCTTTCGATGGGCATTGGAGCAATTTGAAATTTCATTTAAATCGGAAAGTTTAACTCGTCTTTCAGATTCAAAACGACATAACTGTTTAAGATGTGCCCATTTTGAAACTTGTTTTATTCCATTGTCATCCAAACTTAATTCTTCTGTCTTTTCTGTGCGTCAAAAATTGCAGGTATTTTTCAACAGATGAATATAATCAAAAAGCAAATTTTTATTATCGCCACTTAAAATTAGATAGCTAGCTAGCTAGATAGATAGATAGAAAAAAGAAACAGACTAAATCAAGCGTAGAAAAACGTTATCGAAAAGACGTACGTCTCTTAAAATAAACTAGACATTAACTTTAATAAAGGGTTTTCCAATAATTTGGGCCGATTTTAATGTGAAATAAGTTTAAGCGTCTAATGATTTTTTTCTTTTTCTTTCAGATCTAGCGGATATTTGTGCGATATTATTTTACACACATAATTGCCATGACTTAAATAACATGATCCAATAAAGAAATAAATACATTTTCACCATAACACTGATTTATTTACTGCTGACTTTGATCCGTTTTAATGAAACACCTTTATATATAATCCGTCTTAATGAAACACCCTTGATTAATTTATTAATGTCAGTTTTTTTAGGGAGTCTGGGATATAATTTTTAAAAAATAGCTTGATTTACTTGAGTTGCAATCATATAAAATAGCCCGTACATCACCCTGTATAGATGTGATGGCCTGAACTGTTAACTCAATTTGTTCAAATAAAAAGGCTGATGCTAATTTTGAAATTGGAACCAAACGTCTAAAAAATTTTGAACTCCCAGTGAGATATATATACTTTATAGCAAGTATTGTTTGAGCAAGTAGAGATGGATTGTCAACTGACTTACCAAACAGTTGTTTATCATGATATAGTAACATTTTCTTGATATCTACTTCATCATGGAGAATTATGTACCCTTTTTGATTGCATTAAGAGTTTAAATACAAATAACAAAAATTTTTTTCATCAAGTTTTGAAACTTTTGATGTCATTCTTAATTAATGTTGCTAATGATGGTAATTGAAAATCCTGTCTTAATCTATTATATAATTTGTATAATAGTCAAAAGAACGTATTACTATATCTGAGCTGTATTTCATCCCAAACATTTTGGGCGCCATTGCTGAAAAGTGCTGACTCAAGATATCCTTCTTGTGTTCAAAAGCCATAGAATTTAAATATCGCATAATTTCTTCAAATATTTACCAAATATCACATATATTTGTGCGGTTTTTGGGTAGGCTACTAATATAACACTTAACTCCATAATGAAATATTTCAAACAGCAGTTTTTTTTTGTTTTTCAATTCTCTACATAAAAAGAGCGATAACTTTTGACGACTGAACAGTTAAAATATTTTCAACAAAAAACGCTGCAACAGGACACAAAATGTCTTTTTTTCTTGTTGATTAGATTTTCTTTCAAATTTGTATAATTAAACTTATCTAATTCTAAAAAGCATTTATTTCATTAATTTGATCTCAAGCATTTTTGGATTTTTTTTGGATATCCCTTTGAAGAACGAAGGGTTTGGGTAAGACTATTTGGTAGATTTTGGGGCTCATTTTCCCATGAACTTCTATGGTATCATTAATTTGAAGGCCAATTTAGATGACAAATAATTGGATTGTTTGTAACATTCAGATTGGCATTTGGAACTGATTTTCATCAATCGCTTTCTCTCATCTTTGTCTTTTGGATAACAATAATTGATATTTTATTGATCTCACTTGTTCAGTTTTTGTCTTGCCAAATTCTGTAATTCGTCTTACAAGCAATGACACAATACTTCCGAGGCATTTCTGGAAACTAGGTAATATCTGAAATAGTTAAGCTTCTTAAGCACAATTATTTCTTTTAAATGCTTCAATTTTAGGGGTAAAAATGAAGTCAAATTAATTATGCATTAATCCCAACTTCTACCTCCCTTCATACGAATAAGTTAAAAACAGAAATTTTAGAAGTTGTCTTAAACCTGAAATCCACTTTTTAAATAGATTTTTATTTTTTTTTTTTGGTATATTGGTTTTAAAATATTGTTAACAAAAAACAATTTTATAAAATATTACATAATCTTTTAATTAATTATCGAGTTAAATAAGAATGTAAATTTCTATAATTGTCAACATAAGATCAGCTCTTCCTTGGCTTTTTTTAAAGACTCTGGGTGCTGCTCCTCCAGGCATACCTTCCCTCTGTTCAAAAAGTGGGGATTGGCGGTTTTGCCTGAGGGGAGAGGGATTTAATATATTTTTTGAGACAATGCCTCGTGGAGGGGCAATCCACCGAAGTTCATTTTATATAATCTCTGCCTTCTTGTGTCAAAAATCAGTTTCTTTTTAATATAAGTAAATAAATAAATACTTTAGAAGAACCGAAAAAAAAGCCTGAGCAATAAACAGCAAAAAAATGGTTAATATTTCGTTCAATGATTTAATATTTTCTTTTTTAAATATCGAATTAAATTTTATTATATGACATTAAATTTACGTTAAAACATTCTTAAAATAGCCTTTTTATTAATTTTGTAATTAGAGTAAATAATTTGGAAAATTTTTTAAAACTAAACAATAAACATTAATTGTTTGTTTATTTTTTTTATAAAAATGACGCAAAACATAAAAATTCTATAAATATCGAAATCTATGAATAACAACAATATTAGAAAATTTATTAAGATAACTTTGTTAAATAATAATAAAAATTCATTTTATTAAATTTAAAAACAAATTTTAGAATAACGTTTTTTCGAAAAGACGTACGTCTGTTAAAAAATAGACATTAATTTAATATTATTTATTAATGTCATTTTTTTTTTTAATTTTTATAAATAAATTATTACAGGTCCCTCAGTAACAAAAAAAGAAAGTTTTAAAATAAAAAAAAAATAATCATAGATTTTTTAAATTTTAGATGTAAAAAATAAAATTCGTTTTTGAAGCGTAATCGTTTACTTTTTTTCAAGAACATTGAATAAACTTTTAACAGAAAAATATTAAATAATAAACTTAAACTTTTAATTTGGTTGACATTTGGTTTTATTTTTCGCTTTAAAGGAAAATTAAAAAAAAAAAATGAAACATTAATATTTGTTGTTTATTTTAATTTAACGAAAAAACAAAACTGAAAAAAAATATAATTCTATCAGTGCATTTGTTCTTTATGAATGTTATAGAGTAGTTTTCACAGTGGAGGCTTGTATTTCACTCAGTCGGTCCTAAATTAGGCTCGACGTACAAGCGTTGGGAACTTGAAATATAGTTAATGACGCAGCAATCAGGTTGTGGTGCTCAGTGGCGTAGCTAGAGTAAAAGTCACCCGGGGCGGTCCTCTCAAATGTCACCCCAATGACCCCGATTCACTCTATGCTGAATGGTTAGCTGTAGCTAAATTTTCATACATGCTCTACCTCTACTTTACTCTACTGACCGGTACGTTACTGTTTACATGTATGATCCAAGACAAAATCCAATACCAGAAAATAATCAGTTCAAATCAAAAGATTTTTAAAATATAACTGTTCAATTTCAAACAATTAAAAACAAAACACGGCAATACACAAAAAATGACACTCGATACTATGGTCTTTAAATGAAGGTTTTTTGTTTTCATTGTATTTAAACTGGTCAATGGCATCGTCAAAATCTGTTTGTCTTGTAAGATCGTTTTCAATGGACAGCATTAAATATCCGACAGTCTCCACTGGCTCATGGTTGACGTAATTTTCTATGCTAATTTTCCAGTGTTCAATTTTCCGTTGCATCCTTTTCTGAAAAAATGTTCTATTTAATTTTTTAGCATTTTCAAAAAATTGATACAAAAAAGACTTTTATTTTTGCACTTTTGGCTACGTATTTCGCTTTGTTGTTAACAACTGATGCAGAAACACGGCAATCAAAACACCATATCATTCGATAAAATGTTACAACAATGTCTATCAATCTGTGCAAAAAGTGGATTAGAGCCTTGATATTTTTCTCACCTCTCATTGGTCAGTTAATATTTAAAACATACTCGTTTTCAATGGACAGCACAGTCATATCCGACAGTCTCGACTGGCTCATGGTTGACGTAATTTTCTGTTGCTAATTTTCCGGTGTCCAATTTTCCGTTGCATCATTTTCTGGGTACCATTTAATTATCAACGATGTTTGAAAGTATTTTTTTTGACAAAAATGTTCTATTTAATTTTTAAGCATTTTTCGGAACATTGTAAATCAACTGCATTTTTTAAAGGTTACCTAGAGAATTTATGCAAAGTTTTTTTTTTTGTTTTTCTTTATAAAATAAAATAAATTTACATCGTATTTTGATGTTATTATTTTTTTAGTTTTAGTGATAATTTAAAAACAATAAATATTTATCATTAGTACCAATAATGGAAAATTAAGTTAAAAATTTAAAATTTTCTTCGTTTTTGGAATCGGAAAATAGGCACAAATTTTTTCCGATTCCGATTTTTAATTCCCCATTTTTCAAAATTCTCGATTCTCGATTCGATTAATCGTCCCAACACTAGTAAATATATTCAAAAAAGTATATCACTCACTCAATGGAAAATTGTATCTCAGCGAATTGATACACAGGCAAGACTGAAATTGTTTTTGCTTTTTGGCTTCGTATTTCGCTTTGTTGTTATTAATGATGCAGAGTTTTAAAACACCATATCATCCGATAAAATGTTACAACAATGTCTCTTGTTAGTAACCAAGATTGTAACAACTGAAACACATGAAAAATTGAAAACATTGCTATTTTTCCTACTCACAAATTTCCCGACAATTTATTAGAAAATTTCTGACGTGGGGACAAAACTGGGGGGGTCATAAATTATTTCTGGGGGTCATATGCCCGCCTGCGAAACCCTGTGTCTCCACCACTGTTTTCAGACTATTTTTGGCACCTTAGCCTGGTTGAAAAATTTTGTTGGGGGCGACATTGTGTCAGCCCTCCTGTGCTGGCACCCGGGGCGGTCCGCCCCTCTCGCCCCTCCTTAGCTACGCCACTGGTGCGGCTCATACTTTAATGTCCGACATCGACTGACTCACACAACTCACTCCGCTCCACTGGTGACTGCTACTACTACTACTTATTATCTGTGGGAGAGTCTATTTACCATATAAATAGGTACGTCCCGGTATAACAATGAATAACAACAATATTAGAGAAAAAATATTAAAGTAACTATGAAATAATAATGGTAATTTATTTTTAAGAAATTTCCAAGTATAAAGTTTAAAAACAAGCGTAGAAAAACGTCATCGAAAAGACGTACGTCTCTTAAAATAAACTAGACATTAACTTTAAGAAAGGGTTTTCCAATAATTTGGGCCGATTTTAATGTGAAATAAGTTAAAGCGTTTAATGATTTTTTTTCTTTTTCTTTCAGATTTGGGGAACATTATTTTTCAAACATAATTGCCATGACCTAAATAACATGATCCAATAGAGAAATAAATAAATTTTCACCAATAACACTGATTTATTTACTGCTGACTTTGATCCGTCTTAATGAAACACCATTAGATATAATCCGTCTTAATGAAACAGCCATGATTATTTATTAATGTCATTTTTTCTTTAATTTTAACAAGTAAATCCTTACAGTTCCCTCAATTACTAAAAGAAAAAGTGGTAAAAAATGAATCATACTTTTTTAACTTGTAGAAACAAATAGACAGAACGTAAAAAAAGAGAATTGGTTTTTGAAGGGTAACTGTGTGATGATTTTTTTCAAGAACATTGAATAAACTTTTAACAGAAAAATATTGAATTATAAACTTAAACTTTTAACAAAAAAAATGTTGAGTCATTGACTATTAAGCTAATTTTTTACCATACTTTTAAAAAAAAACTTTAGAAGATTTTAGCAAAATGACTCAGCAGCAGGATTAATTTCGTTCACACTGATAGAGTTTTTACAATATCAAAAATAAATACTCGATTAAGGTGGAATAAATGATAGCTGAGTTCGAATCCATTACATTCACTTACGTGCTAATACCCTTGGGAAAGGTATTAATACTCTTCTTCTCCCCCCACCCATCCATGATAGACTGAGTTCTCTAGCCTTGGGTGTTAAACGGTGTAAGAGAAAGTAACCTAAAACTGTATGTATCCCTGGTGTATCACATATTATCACTGTAGGCTGAGAGAATGAGACACTGCATAGTCTCTAAAAACTTTGGCTCACCTGATGACTGTCCGTCTCTGTAATAAATAATTGGAAAATAAATGAAAGAATGATTTCCCACCAATTAATTTGAAGTGTTATCATCCTCTGCTGATAAACTTGAATTCCATCTACTCTTAACTCATCTGGAGTATTCCTACCTAACTCCCCACTTAGAACTGATTATCTGTTGAGTGATATACATATAACCCCTGAATTCGTTCATCATCTCTCCTCACAGGGACTTTTCTCAGAAAAAGTAATATGGATTTCGTCTCTCCAGATCAACTACTAAAGTACTAACGATAATTTCGGAAAGCGTCTATCATGCTCTAGATAAAAAAAAAATGGTGATGCCCGAGCATTGCACAGCTTGAAAGAATTTGACAGGATCTGATATTCAGGTCTTCTCCAAACGTGAAAATCAACAGTATCTCCGGGCACGCTTTTGGGATTATCCAGTCGTTCCTATCAAATCGTGAAATGAAAGTTGTCTTGAACGGCCATTCGTCTATATCCTTTCATACTAACGTGGGTGTCCCCCAGGGTCCCACCCTTGGTCCTACGCTGTTTTTAATTTCCATTAACGACCTTCTTGACGATATCAGCTCTCAACTTGGCATCTACACTGAAGACACTAACATTTATTCCTACCTCAGTAGTAAAGCTGGTCAGTCCGACAAGGTCAGAATGACAGCTGATGTACAAAACGATCCCAAGGAAGACGTTAAGTGGTGCAAAAGATGGCTTGTCAATTTTAACGCCTCCAAAAGTAAACTTCTCTCCATTAATAATCTGAGAGACCCCTCTCAGCCTCCCATCAACATGGCTGATGCTACCCTCCAAGAAAGTGACTCACTGCACCTTCACAGGCTAAAGTTCTCAGCTGACATGAGGCAAAAAAGACTATATTGCTGTGGAAACCATCGCCAGATCATTCTGATAAGAAAAAAAAACTGACTGTGTCGAAAAATGAAACATTTTTCTCTCCAGAATCTATCTTGCATATCCTTATAATATTGCTAACAAATATGGTTATTTGCCCCTGCTATTTTTCTGAAAATATAATAAGATCTAAATTAGAAATGATTGATGAAGGATCACTGGTCCTGATCTGACGGCTTGGCTTAGAGACTTAATGATACCAAAGGTTGCATCTCTGTGCATTTTAATAAATATTTTTTATAGTAATTGTTGGGTTGATCTCTACACTATGGTACCTAGACTGTATGAATTTAAGCGTAATACAAGACTAGAATTCAGATCTCATCAATTTACTGTTGAGCTTTAAGATGTAAACCAGTAATTCTATGCTGATATATTTCTTATCTCTACTTCTCACCTTACTGGAACTCCCTCAGGGCTCCATGCTTTTCATTCATTTAATTTGCAAAAATTTAAATTTTATTGGCAATCGCTATCTACTATCCCCGTCCATGCTTAGAATATTTTCACATATGGTTACTAATTTTTTATTTCCATAAATCAAATCGCAAGAATGTAACCCATTGCATGCTAGTGGCTGCACTTCCTTGCCCACCACCTTAAAGGATAAAAAAGATAGAGATAAAAACTTAGATGGAATTGTTCCTGAGAGGCGAAATGATAACAACTAGATAGATTTAGATAGATGAGATAGATAGATTCATTCCTTGACAGCAAATCGCTGAAGGTAGTCCTTAACCGAAAATTCTCTTCCAGTTCCTTTCTCGCACTTCTCCTTATGGAATTTTCCAAGGGTCTATTCTAATCCTACTCTGTTCCTTATCTTCGTTAACAATCTTCCCGATCTCATCATTTCCCATTAATCTATGCAGACGACACTTCATTTACTAATGCCTTTTAGTAAATTTCGTATCATGACAAAATAATTGTGGCCGCTGGTCTCGAAAAGGACCTCCAATCACAAATGGCTGGTTAACTATATATATATAAAAAACAAAATGCTATCTATTGCCCACCACAGAGAACCCTCCTGCCTCCCATTAGAATGTCTGATATATACTCCATATATTCACCGCTTTGTGTCTGCTTCGTCTCACACTGTCTGCTGTGTGATAAAGATGGAAAATTTACATTGAATCAATAGCTTCATATACTGCAAGGAAAGTTGGTTTTTTTTTTCTCGCCCGACCTCTATCCCTTCTAAGCTATATATCGACCATTCGCCCTTGCATGGAATATTGTTGTCATATATGGTCTGGAGACCCCTGAAAATGTTCGTCTTAAATGTCCAAGAGACGGATATGCAATATGGTTATATGATATAGCATCTCATCTGTTACCTCTCGCTCTATCAGAGACGTCCGTTGCCTCCCTCTGTCTTTTTTTTCAAATCTTTCACTCTAACTGCTCCAACGAGGTATTTCTCTTCTAGTTGAATGAATTTAAACGTGCCACTAGGTCGACATCTCATCCCACCCTTTAATTCTTGAAATTGTTTTTTGGAGCTCAAAATCTATTTTCTGTAGCTTCGTGTTTTTGCATTTCCCTTCTTGAAACTCCCTTCCTATTAATTGCTTCCCTGATAGCTATAATGTTCAAATATTCAAATACAATGTCAATTGACATCTATAAAATGGCTTGATCTATTTCTGCCCTTCTCTTCATCCTTTCCTATTTCACGCCTCCAGTCGAAATTCCGCAAACTACAACCCTTTGCCGTAGGTAGTGGCATGCCTCCCTTGCTTGGGGTGAAAAAAATCCTGCATTTTTTAAAAAAGATAGCAGGATCCTGCAGAGATATAGAATACATAGATAGATAGATTCCTCCTATAGATTCAATAAATCTAAACTGATAGATAGATGATAGATAATTAGATATGCGATAGATAGATAGGATGAAATTTTTAAATTTTGAGATAGATAAGAATAGATAGATAGATAGATAGATATATATAGATATATATGAACAAAAGAAGATAGATAGATAGATATATAGTCTAGATATGAATTTTAATTTCTTTTTTGATTATATTTTTATAGATTCGTTTCCCACATTGTGATAATAGATATTCTGATAAATGAAACGTGAAATGTAGAATGAACCTTGATGCATATTTAGATATATATGAACAAAAGGAGGCAAATTTATACATACATAAATAATAAAAAATATAATATAAATATATATCTGTTAACAAAACCGAACTATAGGTAGATAGATAGATAATAATATGAACAAAAGATTCATAAATAGATAGATAGATAGATAGAATATTTTGAAAGATATGATAGATAATGAATTCAACAATAGGAGATTCTAGATTTCCTACATACATATCTAAAAATAACATGATAGATACTCTACCACATAGATAAATGCATAAGATATCGTGAGCAAAAAATAAATCAATTCAAGAATTAATACTTTTATTTTAATCCGACATTGTTTTATCGTTAATATAATATGGTACTTCATGATTTTAAATTACTCCCCGATTTAATTTATTCAGACGTCCTGTGTGGCATGTATAAATTTAATCCATTGGAAAAAGGCCTCTGATAAAATGTGTTCCCCAACGTAGCAGAACCACCAGTTAACTGGTTTTGTATTCCCAAGTCCAATCAAGGCGCGGCTTTATTTGCATTTCTGGTCCCAGCTCTGGCAAATAGTTATAAACTGGGGTGAAAAAACTATGAAAGTCCTTAAAAATGGGTTTTAATATATATATATAAATATATATATATATATATATATAATATATTTGGTCGAAGATATTAAAAAAAACAGATTGAAAGCAATAAAATTTTGTCTAGATTAAATAACCCATTGATTTTGTTTATGGTAAAAAAATATATATATATTTGAGAAAATAGGTGATCACTAAATAATTACAGAAACATAGAAATTTAATAGCTTCCTCCGAAACGCTAAATAAAAAACTTATCATGAATGAACTAATAGTTTCACAAGATAACATTAAATTTATGCTTTATCAAAACCCAAAAAGCTTTCGAATGTAGGTATTGATAGCGACCAACAAATATATATATATATATATATATATATATATATATATATATATATATATATATATATATATAAAAATTCAAATCTTATGGTTATAAAAAAAAATATTGTAACAGAAAACCTTCAGCCTGATAAAAGATTTGCAAATTGTTGGGGCTATAAGCACCAAAAGTTGCGTCCCTATATAAAAAAAGTTGTTCCAAGAACATGTACGTTAACCACATAACTATTTCATATGAATGAATACTGGGCCCAAAGGATTAAAAAATAGTTAGCGATGATTTGAGTACCGAAAATAACTAAATAAAGTCTCAATACAATGAGTAGAGGAGACCTATATATATAGATAAAACTGCTATAAATTTTATATACATAGAAACTAGAGAGAGAATAAATATGAAGGGTAACCTAATGGCTAGTTTAAATATTTCATATATACGTTCCGGTTAAATAAAGAGATTATTCAAAAAAAAATATAGAGGGAACACAATTAAAAATAAATAAATGTTTAATATTCAAATCTATACTCATCACCAATAAATGCTCTTTTTACCTATAAAAATATTTTTGTAAACAATTTTATTACTACGAATCCATTAGATATAGAGAAAAACTCTACTCCTTAAAGTAAGAAACTTTAATATATACAGTAGCAGCCATAACATAAGGAATGGAAACAACAAAGACATAAATATGTGTATTCCTTAAAACGTAATGCATGATTAACAATGAAATGTTTACCGAATAAAGATTAGGGTGTAATGCATAAATATTATACAGAGTTACAAAAATTTACATAATAGTTTTTGTTTTTTAAATAAACATTTAATGGAAAAAGGGAAATAAGCTACTGGACAAAAGTTAAGGAACGATCTTGTTAATACTTGATTGTGAACAAAATATCAACAAAATTTAATATTTGGTAAACATCTCTTTATTTTCAATGACTTTTCTGCATCGTCGACCACATGATCTAATTAATTTCTTGCAAATTAGGAGTAATTCCTTCCCATTCGTCTTTCAATAACTCCCATAGGTGATTCTGGTTTTTCGGGTTTCTTTTCTGAGCCCTTTCTCCAATTATCTTCCAAACATTTTCTATTGGATTCAGGTCGGGGCTCTGGGCTGGCCACTTCATTAGGGCGATTCCTTCTTCTTCAAATAAGACCAAAACCTTCTGAGCCTTGTGGCAAGGTGCATTTTCCTGCATGAAAATAGGAGATTCATAAAGATTATAGTGTAATCTTGGTACCACATGCTGCTGAAGAAGCCTTTTTGTAAATCTCAGCATTGATATTGCCATGTACGCGGATGATAGGGCCAACTCCTGCAGATGAAATCATTCCCCACAACATCACACTGCCGCCACCAAAAACGGTTTTTCTTGATACATTGAAAGACAGTCTTTCACCTGTTCTACGGCGTACGTAAGTTTTGCCCTCAGAACCAAATATAGTAAACTTGGACTCGTCACTGAAATGAATTGTATCCCATTGTGCGTCAGCCCAGACAATATGTTCTCTCGCATACTCCAAGCGTGCCCTTTGGTTTCGCTTTGAAATGAGAGGCTTCGAAGCTGGAATACGGGCATGCAATCCTGCATTTTTTAACCTGCGAGCAACCATTTTCTTTGAGATCTTATTATCTGTCTCTTAAATTTGTGGGCAATTGATGTAGCAGTTTCAAATCGGTTTTTTGTAGATATTCTAACAATTCTTCGATCTTCTCTTTGCGATGTTTTTGGAGGTCTGCCAGTTTTTGGTTTTGCATCTAACGTTTTATCGGTTTTATACCTGCTAATTACACGATGAACGACACTTTTAAACTTATGAATAATATCAGAAATTTCTGAAATTGACTTTTTTTCTTGATAGCGATAATGAGTTTTATTTTTTCAAAAGAGCGTTTTGCGTGTAGAATTTACCATATTCCTTAAAAAATAAAGTCCTAATGATAAATGAACTTTTAAATTGAAAAATCAAGTTTTTTAACAATGTAAATTAAAAAGTTTATGCAAATTATTAACATCGTTCCTTAACTTTTGTCCAGTAGCTTATTTCCTTTGTTCCATTTAATCTTTATTTTTTTAAAAACTATTATGTAAATTTTTGTAACTTTGTATAATATTTATGCATTACACCCTAATCTTTGTTCGGTAAAAATTTCATTGATAATCACGCATTGCTTTTTAAGTAATACACATATTTATGTCTGTGTTATTTCCGTTCCTTATATTATGGCCGCGACTGTATAACGTCTAGAAATGTTTTTATATATATATATATATATATAGAGAGAGAGATTCCTCGTTATAAATGTTTCATATATCAGTTATGTGTTATGGGCGATACACGTTTGGGAGATCATGTTTCTTTCGATATATAGCTGACGAGGAAGATTTTATCCAGCACTAGTTTGTCATTTCTTCTTGTCCTGCTATTTACACATAGCTGGTGGGGAGGGGGGAAGAGGGCTCATACCTTTCCCAAGAGTATTGTCACGGAAGAGAATATAATGGATTCGACTGGATTTCGAACTCGGTTCTCTGATTCCTCAATCCGAGCTGTTATCCATTACTCCACCGTTCCTCCTTTCATATACATTCCTATAATCGTCATATATATTATTTATTATATATATATATATATATATATATATATATATATATATATATATATATATATATATATATATATATATATATATATATATATATATATATAATATATATATATATATATATATATATATATATATATATATATTTCATATGCATATAAATATATATATAAACTTGTCAGATACATTCATTATTACTATAAATGTTACATATATATATATATATATATATATATAGTATTGCTCTAAGAGTTGTATATAGAGAAAAATTTAATTATTACTATAAATGTTTCACACAGACACTTATATATATATATATATATATATTAAGATCAATAAATATTGCTTGAAGCCAGAGAAAATAGAGCCTCGATCAATATTATTGATGTAGTATGCAAAGGTTACGTTAGATATCATCCACACACAAACCTTCATCGTTTTTGGTGTTGGTTTTCTTTTCTTTTCGATCATTTCTTTCTTCCTTTCCCTTTATTCTTTTGCAGTAGGAAAAAAAACGTCACTCAAAGTTGAAGATATTCCATCATAAAATAACATTGAGCAGAGCGCATTTGAGGAAATTATAATCCAAATATAAACTGGCCTGTTTGCATGAGGAAATATTTCTACACTCATAGCAGTTCCTAACCTTGAACGTCTTTTCGAACACAAATCCTTAGATCTCAACTCGTGCTCGTATATACGATGCTAAAAAGGCGACAATAATGGTCAGCACTTTATGAAGCTCCAGACATTACTTAACATCGCCAGACATGATGTATCCTTGCAAGCGTTAGATAAGAGTAAAAACGGTGTAGAGCGGATATAGCTGGGATCCAACTGACAAATATTAACTTCCCAGCCTATACAGAATTGGGCGCGATGAATTATTTTCAACTCCATAAATCCTTTCCTAAAGTCAAAACGTTGAAAACCTATCAATATTTTATCGCTATTTCTATGGAAATGGTTCAGATAAGGTGCATTGTTTTGTTCCACCAATTCAGACCTTTACAGCTAAGCCTCTCTCTACTCCATCGTTATTTCCATGGAAGATATTCAGTTATTCCTTTTTCCATTCAGACTTAGTTCCAATCGAGTTCAGACTACTTCTATCTTAAAATGTTCAGATGAAGACCACCAGTTCTTTACTCAAATCTATCGTTATTTCCATGGAAAAATGATTCCACCAGTAGTTCCACCAGAGATCTTTACTATTCTACTTAAAAAAATGTCCTGATGAATTCCTTAGTTCCACTAGTTCAACCTTTACTAAGCCTCTCTCTACTCTATCGTTTACCATGGAAAATTCAGAGATCTCCATTTTAGCTCCACCAGTTCAAAGCCTCTCTTCTGGAAAATGATCAGATGATCTCCATTCTATCCACCAGTTCAGACCTTTACAGATTTCTCTCTATTCTATCGTTATTTCCATGGAAAAATGTTCAGATGAGCTCCATTCTTAAGTTCCACCATTTCAACCTTTACAACTAAGCCTCTCTCTACTCTATCGTTATTTCCATGGAAAATGTTCAGATGATTCCATTCCTTAGTTCCACCAGTTCAAAAGTTCTTTACAGCTAAGCCTCTCTCTCTACTCTATCGTTATTTCCATGGAAAATGATCCATTCCTTAGTTCCACCAGTTCAGACCCATTCCTTATCGTTCCACCAATGTTCATGAGCCCATTCC